ACTAAGATTTTGAGACAATGGATGTTATTAGATTATCATCAGTTTATTATAAAAGACACATGGAAATTATTTACATGATGAAAGATCTCAGAACTTCAGTGGAATGGGCAGCTTCATAGGATGCCATTTCAACAATGATTTGTTTCAGTCTACATACTTTCCAAGAATGTCACCATCTCTAAATAAGAAATAATCCTGCAAATAGAGAAATTATTAGTTGACAGCTAAGAGCAAATACTTAACTTCTTTTTAGAACTATTAAGTTTACATACCTTGTCATCTAGAACTACTTTGGTGCCTCCATACTCTGGGAGAAGAACTTTATCTCCAACTTTCACACTAACTGGCTGAATCTCTCCACCCTTAAGATAATAAAGATGTTTATCAGCAAATACATCCAGTTCACTTAACTTTTTAAAAAATATATATTTATTTTTTTGTAGTTGGACACAATACTTTTGTTTTTTTCATATGGTGCTGAGGATCGAACCCAGYGCCTTGCACATGCTAGGTAGTGCTCTACTGCTGAGAAACAATCCCAACCCTCACTTAATGAAGGTAATTGGGTGGCTACTTTATACTAGAATTGCAGTTTTTCACAACAAAAACATCACTTTAAAATCCTAATTTGCAATAAGGAACATACTTCAACTAAAACTCAGGTTCTGACTTCAGGGTAAAAGCCCAAGGAGTTTTACTGGAAAAGCAAAGTTTAACTAACCAAACCTAACTTTAAAATTGTTAAATATTAACATAATCYATGGACACGTGAAATAAAAGGGTTTCTTGAAAGTCCTCCTATYCCTAATTCCAGGACAGTTCCTTAGTAGAACTAAGTTTGAGGAGACTGGAACAATGTGGTTATCATATTTGACCCCCAAATATATATAAARGCATTTACTGTCCGACACTTTAAAAAGCTGGAGGTCTACACAGTTAACTGGAGAAAACTTACAAGGATAAGGTCAACTGTTCSTTTCACAGGTATGCCAACAAAGGTCAATGATTGGAGTTAATTTCAGTGAATTGTCAAAAAACCCAGTGACTTCTTGAGACATAACCTTCTGTCTAGTCAAAAATTTAGAATTTGAAGAAAATGATCACAAGGAACCTACCAAAAAGCTAAGTACAATTTCAACACGGGAAATAAGGACAATTTCAATACACTGGAAATCCCTATCATATAAAACAAGCAAAGTGATCATTTTACAATCACTTTCATTAAAGCAAGGTTAGAGATTACCTAGAAAATAACACAAGGTTTTCTTACTTTTTTCTCTTGCAATGCACACAAAAATATTAGTTCCACAYTGTGGCCCATTTACCTTTCCTTTAGAGCCTGATCCCACAGCTACTACTGTTGCTTGCAATACTTTTCCTTGAGATTTTTCTGGAAGCATAATGCCTCCTTTGGTTACAGTTTCGGCTGCACTCCTTTCGACCAATACTCGGTCAAAAAGTGGAAGAAACTTCCTAAATGCTTGTCCAGCCTGTTTAAAAAAAAAAATGTTAAAAGAGCTGAAACAACACTATGYAAATTACATTCAACAGACCACACCACTATAAGCATTACATCTAACATGTTCTGGAGTTCAAAGTTAACACCAAAACTTATATTTAATTCCCATTCCCTATGTCCCTTTAGGGTCGYTGTGGCTTCTCGCCATCAGCAACCAGTCTATTTTAGGGGTAAYCTTAGTTCATTCCAAGGTCAAATATTTTCCGTCCTCAGGTTTTCTRGACACTTCCAGGAAACGATGAAGGTCAATCTTTTTACTTGAGGCCATGCTTTCTCCAAGACACACACCCACGAAGGCCCCGCAGAAGCAGGCGGGCAGCCACGCACGCGTCCAAGTTCCCGCCCCCTACCCACMACGCCTGCGGAACCCGTGCGTCCAAAAAACTCGCGGTGGAGGAAGGGGTCGAGCGGGGGTACCTCCCCGGGGTACAGGTGGGGGCGGTCACCAAGTGGCCCACCATATCACCTACCAGGCCCAAAAGAGGGCCGCTAGGGACTTCCCGTTGGATCCTAACCGAGCAGGATCCGGCGGCTTCCGGGCCACGCAGGACTCACCATGACTCGCGCCGCCGCAGCTCGGACTCTGCTCTCGTGCAGCCGCCGCAAAGAGACCCGCAGTCCGGCCCTCGGAACACGTGAAAAGGCCGTCCCGCGCGCACGCGCGCTGGATCCTGCCCTGCCCCCGCCCCCGGGAGAGGGGGCGGCCGCGCCAGCGCGCGCCGTGATTCGTCCCAAGGACTCAGCGCAGGCCACTGACGCGAGGGYTGGGAGGCGGAAGAAAAGAGGCGCTCTTTCTAGGCTTTTCTAGGCAGCCAGCCCAGGTGAAAGATCTACCCCTGTGTCCCCTCCCGGAAATGACGCGATTTGACCCTTGACTCTAAGAGAGCGCGGCGCTTTCCGGAAAGTTCTGGAACGGAGATTGGCCCGGGAACTAGCCTAAGCGGGCAAGAGAGGACTGGGCCCGCTAGCCTGACCCTGCGCCGGTAGGAGGGGCGGGGCTCGCGAGCAAGTTATGCTGATGACCGGGCCGCCGACTCGGAGGGGGCGGGAGCCGCCTGCACACGCGGTGCCGCAGGGCGGGTAGGGGGGGTAAGGGGTGGCGGAGGGAGGGGATTCGGGCWCATTGCCGTGTGCGCCTTGCACTCTGTCCCTCACTCGCCGCAGACGGTCTGCCTTGCCGCGTGCACTCCCTGCCGACGCCCCGCAGGTACGCGGCCGCCCTGTGCCGCTTCGTTCTGGGACTGGCGACCCCGGAGTAGGCCTTCCTCCAACGCAGACGTTCCAGAGAATGCCGGCGGGCTGCAGCCGGTACTTCTCCACGGCTCTGCGGGCCTAGCCGGCGGAGCCAGGCCTCGCGCGGCCATGAGGGTTCCTGTCACGTGCGGACGGTTCGCGGCCCCAGTCCAGGCGTGGGAAGGAGGGCGGACATGCCTGCGGGATAGRATCTGGGGGTAGTAGCTACTTGGGCGCTCATGTGCAACCCGCTCCAGGCCGATTGCGGGGCGCCAGGGCGAGTGGTAGCTTCCGTGAAGGAACTGGTTTTTGCCCCGCTGGTAGCAGAGATACTGTACCTCCTTTTTTGACCTTGCTGGGGGCGTCCTGAAGGGAAGACACGTGGGGCTGCGGAGTGGGCCGGGCGGGTGCACTCATCGCGGCCTTGGTAATTTGTTCTGATACAGTAACCTCGGGTGGATACTTGGAGACAATTTTTGCTGAGCGGCGTTTTGCATCGCCAAGTATACCTATACYTACGTGCTCACTCGGATTTGTAACCTTCCTCTCTACTCCCACTGCCTGGGTTTCGCAGGGACATTTTTGGAGTGGTTCCTTCAAGGCCATTTTAGCGGTAAAATATTAACTCGTTTGGAGCGACTGGGGTAGGTGGCCATGGGAAAGGAGTCGGATATGCTTTGTGCTAGTGCTGTAGGTCAGGCCTGGGGGCGTCTTTTCTGAGCTAGGGCTAGTAACTGTTCTGAAGCTGCCCTGCGTTCCATGGCTCTGACATAGTGGTGGTTATCAGAGGTCAGCCCACAGCAAACGTTGCATGTATTTTTTTTTTTTTTTAAACACAGGTGGACATGTCTCTGCTGAGACACGAGGGTAGTGCTATTATTGATCATCTCCTTTTCTTCCCCAGAAATGCTTCGACTACCCACAGTCCTTCGCCAGATGAGACCAGTGTCTAGGGCACTGGCTCCTCATCTCACTCGGGCTTATGCCAAAGATGTAAAATTTGGTGCAGATGCCCGAGCCTTAATGCTTCAAGGTGTAGACCTTTTAGCCGACGCTGTAGCTGTTACAATGGGGCCAAAGGTATCAGTATTCTTTATTATTTTAATTACAATATTATTAAGCAAGGAATAACGTTTTATTAATGTAGGTAGTCTCACTGGACTATGAAACAGTACTTAAAAGAATTTGAAGCTATTGTATTTTCTGGGAACGGTTTTTTGTTTTGTCTATCTARATCTAGTGGTCTTAAAACTTAAACTGCTTCAGCCAGATCCACCGATTTATTTTGTACAATGTGTGATGTAATCGGGAAGTAACTCATAGCTCAAGGTGGATTCTTAAAACTTAGAGGTACAATTTTGATTGCCTACTTGAATTAAATTTTGGATCTTTTCCCAGTAGTTAATATTTATAGAGGGAGGAAAGAGTATGGCTTATGTCTTACCATATCTCAAGTGTGTGTGTGTGTTTATGTTGTAGTAAAATATGCTTAAAAAATTTACACTTTATTGTGGATCAGGGCCTCCTGAATGCTGGGCAGTTGTTTTACCCCTGCAATTACATCCCCATCCRTTTTTATTTTATTTTGAGGCAGGTTCTCTAAGGTGGCCTCCAACTTCCCTGATCTTCCTTGTGCAGCCTCCTGAGTAGCTGGGATTACAGGCCTGTGCCACCCTAGCTAAAATTTTACCCTTTTTTCTTTTTAGGTGCATACTTTAGGAGCATTGATTACATTTTCATTGTGCAACCATCTGCCATCCATCTCCACAACTTTTTTCATCTGCACTTGGAAAACTATTGCCCATTGAACTGTAGCGTCTCATTTTCTTTCYCCATAGATAATAGTGTGTTTATACCATCACTTGTTCCAAAGCACATATAAAATTCTATATCATTGAATACTGAGTGGCAATATTTTGAGGAAGCCTTTGAAGGTGGTATGCAGCCAAGTGATGCTTCTTTTTAAATTGAAGCTAGTTCAAATTATAGTTATCTGCTCAGTTATAAAATATTCCATTTCACATTCAGGAATAGAAAGTATTAGCTTGGTTGAGATCCCAACACTTCCAGTCCTGTACGTGCTGTGTTTAGTAAACCTGGAAGAGCAGACTGTTTAATRATGGTTATTATTTTGTTGAATTTAAAGCAAACAGGCATCAGCCAAAACTTAAGTGTGAAATATTTTAATAATGTTCTGGAATTTTATAGTTTGTCTTATGTTCTTGTTCATTTTATAAGATGACATCTTTTAGTCCCTAGGATTTTTACCTCCCATAATACCTCATTCAAAGTTAATGCTCTTGGCAGAGAAGTGGAGAGGTCATTTTGTCTGTAAACTAAGAATGTGGATGAACTTGCCCTTGAGATTCATATTGTGGGACTGATACGAATGACACAATTTGTATTGAGGATTTTAAATAGTTGCCCTTTGTGTGTGTGTGTGTGTGTGTAGTGCTGGGATTTGAACTGGGCCTTGTGTGTGCAAGGTAAGCACTCTACCAACTGAGCTATATCCCCAGCCCATAATTGCCTTATTTCTAAAGACTGCTTTTTTTAAAAAATTAAGTATAATTTTTATAGTGGTCTTGTCATATTTTTTTTCCCTCTGCAATTATAGGGAAGAACTGTAATTATTGAACAGAGTTGGGGAAGTCCCAAAGTAACAAAAGATGGTGTGACTGTTGCAAAGTCAATTGATTTAAAGGATAAATACAAAAATATTGGAGCTAAACTTGTTCAAGATGTTGCCAATAATACAAATGAAGAGGCCGGGGATGGCACCACCACCGCTACTGTACTGGCACGCTCTATTGCCAAAGAAGGCTTCGAGAAGATTAGCAAGGGTGCTAATCCTGTGGAAATCAGGAGAGGTACGAATGTCTTTATTTCACTATTTCTAAAAATACTACTTTTTGGAAATAAGACTTCTTTTCTGTCATATAATGGAGTGAGAGGTGTTGAGTAAACCTTAGAGACAGGCAACATACTTTAATTAGAAAGACTTGAAATTATACCCATGGACCTTTTCTTGGTCCGGTTTCAAAATAATTTTGGTATTGTGAGACTCTGTTTACACTAGGTAAATCTTAAGTTACTGCTTCATTGCATATTATCCAACTCCGTGTGATTAGGAAAAGCACTGGTACAAAAGCTGTATACAGACTTAATTAAGGGATTAAAATATTAGTCATGAGCTGGGAGTGTAGCTCAGTGGTAGAGTGCTTGCCTGGCATGCATAAGAACCCTTGGTTCAGTGTGTAGTACCAGTAAATAGTCACCTCAGTATTTCTACTGTACATGGAAGTAATGAAACCAATATATGTTTTTGAACTAGGTGTGATGTTAGCTGTTGATGCTGTAATTGCTGAACTCAAGAAGCAGTCTAAACCTGTGACAACTCCTGAAGAAATTGCTCAGGTAAGGACATTTTGTAATATTATGATAAGGGTTTGCTTTTAGTGATATGTACGGGTTGGTATGTTATTGTTTTGGTTTTTTTCGTACTTGGGATTGAATCCAGGGGTGCTTTAACACTGAGCTACATCCTCCAATCCTTTTTATTTTCTGTTTTGAGGCAGGTCTTCCTGAGTTGCCCAGGCTGGGTTATCCTTTTTCTTTAGCATCCTCAGTTACTGGGTTTGCCTGCTAATGCCACCATGCCCTGCACTTCTAAAAYGTTTTTAAAATTCTCTTGCCATAATTTGTGCTTGAGATAAAACCAGGGCCTTTGCACATGCTAGGCAAGACCACAAAGTCACATCCTGTCATTTGGATCTTTATGGGTTATTCTGTGTGGCTGTAAAATGGATTCATTCGAACATGTTCTTGATTCTTGTCAGTTATGCTTTTACTTGCAGTGCTAGGGATTGAATCTAGGGTCTTTCATGTGACAGGCAAGCACTCTTATTATGGAGCTAAACTCCTACCCTTAATGTCAATTTATGATATCACCTTATTTGCCAACAAAAAATAATGAGATCAGTTTTTTCTTGCTGTTTTTGTTTAAGATAATGTATTTGGGCTGGGGTTGTGGCCCAGCAGTRCAGTGTTTGCCTAGCATGCGCGGGGCTTTGGGTTCGAGCCTCAGCACCACATAAAATTAAGTAAAATAAAGGTATTGTGGAGGGGCTGGGATTGTGTCTCAGTAGGTAGTGCACTTGCCTGGCATGTGTGAGGCATTGGGTTTGATTCTCAGCACCGCATATAAATAAATACAAAGTATCAGCAACTAAAAAAAAAAAAAGTTCCACACCAGCCTGAGCAACAAGACTTGGTGTCAAAATTAAAAACAAACAAACAAAAAAMCAAGTTTTAAAGACTTGGGGTGTTGCTTATACATTGTTATGTGTGAGGTCTCGGGTTCAATATCCAGTATGGARAAGAAAAAAATATGTAGTGAATTCCCCTTTCTTCTGGATAGAAGTATCAGTTTGGAAGCTACTAGGAAACTCCAAGGGTATTGATTGAGGACAATAGCATTACCGTTTAATTTTGAGGAGTAACAATTATTTCAGGTTGCTACCATTTCCGCAAATGGAGACAAAGAAATTGGCAACATTATTTCTGATGCAATGAAAAGGGTTGGAAGAAAGGGTGTGATTACAGTAAAGGTAAGTGTTTGGTTTTTTGTTTTGAGACAGGGTCTTGCTTTATCGCCCAGATGGGCCCTAAACTCTTCCTTTTTCCCAAGTAGCTAGAACCATTGACATGTGCCACTGCATCTGCTTGGCAACTGTGTATTTTTAACTATAGCTTGAATGAGGTGTCTGGTAATTGAAACTTTATTTAATGTGTTCTCATCTCTATGGAATTTAGTACTTACTGGGTTTTGTGTGAACTAATAGYTTTGGTTTCCTGCAATGAATCTGTTCTGAGTTAGGTTTCATTCCCCTGGTAGAATTATTCAAATATATATTTTGGGAAATTGTTGCAGAATTGGAGTTGAATGCTCTAGGCATTTGTATACTTCTTTCTAAATGAGTTATGACCKACCAGTGGGTTGTATTGTTATTAATTTGGTCTGTAATTCCAAGTTTTGTGTTTTATCAGTGAAGTCCTATATCTAATTCTTTGACTTTTGATAGGATGGAAAAACACTTGAGGATGAATTAGAAATTATTGAAGGCATGAAGTTTGATAGAGGTTATATCTCTCCATACTTTATTAATACATCAAAAGGTAAGAGCAAAACTTTAAAAATACATCTCACTAGTATAGGTGTTACTTAGTTGGTAGCACACCACTAGAAAGCATTTGTAATATTTTTTCTTAACATTTATTAGTTATAGGTGGACACAATATATTTTATTTTACGTGGTACTAAGGATCAAACCCAGTACCTCACTCATGCTAGGCAGGCGCTAAATCCTCTAAGACACAACCCCAGCCCAGATTTGTGATATTTTAAAAGTATATAGTAAGCGAAGAAGGAAAAAATATGAACCTTTTCACCACTTTTTTAATAATGGTATTGAAGCATTGTTTTAACTTTTCATTAAATAAGTTGTGGTCGAATTATTCTCAGTAGTGAAATGTTGATTTGAAACGTACATTGTTTTTGCAGGTCAGAAATGTGAATTCCAGGATGCTTATGTTCTGTTGAGTGAAAAGAAAATTTCTAGCGTCCAGTCCATTGTACCTGCTCTTGAAATTGCCAATGCTCACCGTAAACCATTGGTCATAATTGCTGAAGATGTTGATGGAGAAGCTCTAAGTACACTTGTTTTGAATAGGTAATAGGCAGTGTATGTGGTTTATATTTCTAAGGGAAAGAATTATTTATATTTCTGTTTGAGATATTCATTTTGTGTCTCCACATTTGAATCACTTATGTTTTTCAGTATGGGAGGTTGAACCCAGGGGTGCAGAACTACCAAGCTACATCCCCAGCCCTTTAAAAAAAAAAAAAAAAAAGTCTTACGTTGCTTAGGGCCTTGTTAAGTTGCTAAGGCTGGCCTTGAGCTTTCCATCCTCCTGCCTCAGCCTCTCCTGGATCTTTAGGTTTATAGGAGTGTGCTTCCATGCCTGGCTTGATTCACTTGTTTGTAGCTAGGGCAATAAAACAATGTTAGGCACTTCATGTCATGTGTAAACATTAATAAACAATCTGAAAGAAATTAGCAATTAAAGTGAGTTCTTCACTAWTCTGTATTTATATATCACTTTAAAATTTAATACAAGTAATGTTCATGCTATAAACATAATCTCGAGCATTAAGATTTTTTTTTATCTTAGAATCAAGGTATATCCAACCCAATACTTTCCTAGTTTTGTTATAGTGAAAATGTACAAATTAATTAGCAAGTGTATTTCAGATATAAAATACCTTGAGTTGTTCGAAAAGTTCTATGTGAGCTTGCTTACTTAGGTTTCCAAAGTGTGGGGAGTAGGAGTCAAGAAAAACTTTGTAGATAGTGAAATTTGAAGCCTAACCTACCTTGGTGTTTTTTTTGTTGTTGTTGTTTTGTTTTGTTTGGTAGTTGTTTTGATTTTTGTGGTGCTGAGTGTTGAACCCAGGGCCTCACATGTGCTAGGCAAGCACTATATACCATGAAGCTACATCCACTTCCCCTAAAGCCTACAGAGTTTTTATTGAATCATTTACTGATAGATAGCTGTGAAGTTGATGTCTGATTCACTTGGCATATCATCACTGCTTACTGTTCTGATTTCTGTCTCGGTACTATAGACCAGCTCTGAGTCAAATCTAAATATTCCTTCTGTTCTACAATCTGCTTTCAGATGGACATTTCTTTGATTTTGTATTCCAAGTATTCATTTACCTGATAAAATTTCAGGTAAATTTAATGYCACCATCAGCTTTATATAACATTTATTTTAAAGGAATCTATTCAGAACATTGCTTGTTCATACTAACTAACTTGTATAATATTGATTGGAACCCATAGAGCAAAATGATTATTAAATGACTCAAATTTAATATCATTATTACTATTTACTATTTTTACCATTTATAAAATAGTTATCAGTGTACCCTTTAACATAAAATGATGTGTTCTTTGTTCCTGGGTCTAGCTGTTGAACTGCAATGGGAGGCTATCTGTTTATTTTTTTTTAAAGGTAATCAGATAGGAATATGTATGTGAGTAGAAAATAGTCCTGCCTGTCTCATATCTTTCTGGTCTTAATTTGACCAAAGTTAGAAAATAAGAAAGAAAAATCAGTGGCAGCAGTCCTAAGTAATAGTACTGCAACTTAAGGGGAACTAAGCCGGGTATTTTTATTCTATTTAAATTTTATCATTAATTGTTCTTAACAGGCTGAAAGTTGGTCTTCAGGTTGTGGCAGTTAAAGCTCCAGGTTTTGGTGACAACAGAAAGAACCAACTTAAAGATATGGCTATTGCTACTGGTGGTGCAGTAAGTTAAATGTGATGTTCATTTACTGTATGTTATTTATACTTCCAGGTCTGAATGTATGAGTAAMTGTCTACTATCTGTTTCTGTTGGATGTCTGGAAAGTGGGAGTTAGATTGGGTTCCCTTTCTTTCGTTGCAATTAGTCTGGCATAAGAATGGGTTTACTGACTATATCTGTTTTCAGTTTTGAAGGAATATGATAGAATGGATATAGAATTTAGACTGGGTGATGTTTTCTTAAATAATACTAATGACAATTGTGATGATTAAGTGAGAAGTTGGAAATGCAATGAAAGACTATTCAAATCTTGTTCTGACCTAGTAGTAGCTTTGAAAAACTATATGGTATTTCAAGATGTTTCTCCTGTCAAAATACTTGCATTAATAAACTTGGTACAAAGGAAGACACTGTAACTTATAGGCATTCACTTTGTAATGTTTTTTGTAGGTGTTTGGTGAGGAGGGTTTGACCCTAAATATTGAAGATGTTCAGCCTCATGATTTAGGAAAAGTTGGAGAGGTCATTGTCACCAAAGATGATGCCATGCTTTTGAAAGGAAAAGGTGATAAAGCTCAAATTGAAAAGCGTATTCAAGAAATTACAGAGCAATTAGAAACAACAAATAGT